CTGTGTTTAATTTATAATTAGAGAATATTGAGTAAGTATTAATCACCTCCATTAAAGCAGGCAGGGATTTATAAGGATCACCAATATGTCGTCCGCATACATACTAATCTTAATTTCTCCCTTAAAATAGGATATCCCTGTATACTATCACTTTCTCTTATCTTAATTGCTAGTATTTCTATTGTTAAGATATAAAGCAAGGGTGACAATGGACACCCTTGTCTGGTCCCATTACCAAGGGGAAACCAATCAGCACAAATATGTTGTCCAATAGTTCTGGCTATAGGGGAGCTATATAGAGCTTTGACTGCTTTACAGAACTGTTCACCAAAGCCGTATAATTTTAAAATCTGCATCATAAAGCCCCACTCAACCCGATCAAAGGCTTTTTCTGCATCTAATGCAAGGATAACTAGCTCTTTATGTTCTTTTTTAGCCAAATCCAAGATATCCACTATTTTCCTAATATTATTCACTGAACTACGTCCTGGGATGAATCCCACTTGATCTTTAGAAACAACTACTTCGATAACTTTTTTGAGTCTAGCAGCGATAATAGATGAAAAAAATCTTTGTATCTGTATTAATTAAAGATATCGGCCTATAATTTTTTACATATGAGGGATCTTTATTCTGTTTGGGAATAGGGAGAATGTTAGCCACAAGGAATTCTGCTGGACATTTGGCCATTCCAATAAAGTTATTAAAAGCTAAAGTCAGCTCTGTTACAATTTTGTTCTTAAAGATTTTATAAAAAGATTCCCTAAACCCATCGGGTCCTGGGGCTTTTTTTTTCTTCAGAGCATCAATGGCTTCTACAACCTCTATCTCCTCAATAGATCTCTCTACTACATCTTGTTGTTTTTTATTAATAATGGGTATATTAAGACCCTTAATAAAATCTGCCAAATTCCCTAATTTAGTATTATCCGCACTGTTATATAAAGCTTTATAATAATCATTGAAAATCCGGCCTATATCATTAGGAGCTCTAAATATCTTATCATTATTGTTACATGCTATTCTAAGAAAATAATATATTTGATTACCTGTCCGTGTGGACTGTTATATATTGGATGCACTGTTCGTCCCTTACAAATAAGAATACAAGAACATATTAGAAATGTGAGGAGCGTATCCCTCCACTTTAAGAATTTCCATAACAGTGATCCAAGTAAAATACAATTTTTGGGAATACATAAGATGACCCCAAATTGGAGGGGAGACGATTTAATAAAAAAGATGGGACAAGCAGAGATGCGCTGGATATTTAATTTAGACACTTTCCCCCCTGGTGGTTTGAATAATGATTTCGAACTCTGTCCCTTTTTATAATGTTTTAACATTTTTATATATATAATTATTTTTAGGGATTTTTTATTTTTAAGAAAAGGGAATCTAAATAAAAAAAATAAAAAAAATCTATATGTATATATAGATTTTTATACTTTCAGATGTAGATGGCACTGTCATGTGGTTCTTTTGGAAAGCTTGATGATTAATCATATCCCTTTTTTTCACTTTAATACAATGTTTTCATATATGTGACATTTGTATCTATAACATTGACTAGGTGAATGAGGTTTTATGTTTTTATTGTTTCTTTGTGTTTTTTTTTTGCTTTTTGTCCTTATATTATGTACATAAATATATATATATCTATAAATATAATACAGTCTAACATGTATTTGTTATTATGGTTAAGGCTTTTTTGCTTATTATGTGTAACTATGTTTACAATATAGTTAATACTATTTGCAATATTTGTTAGTATTTCTTCTCTATAAGAATTCTTCCTCTATATATTGCACCTCTAATATTACTATTTTTTGTGTTTTTTTCTCATATTTTTTATGATGGACGTTTTAAACCATTGCCTTAAGTTGCACTGTTGGCTAGTGTTATGCCAATACACAATATGGTGATATCGAAATACCGGAAGTGACGTCGGACACTCTCCGATACGTCAATTCCGGTTATACGAAACTAACTGCAAACAGCTGATCTGGCCGACAACTCCATAGACTGGTAAACGATTGGACTAAAGACATACAGGGGGACCAATCATAGACGAACCGCCAGATATAAAATCTGCACAACGCGCACAGAAGAGGATACCAATTGAGAAAGCCTGTTGATTCAGGCGAAACGCGTCTCGGACTGCTTTTTGGACGGCAATATTCACTTTTGGGACTTAATATATGTGGTATTTTTATTTGTTGTTTTTATATACCTAATATTTTGGCTAAATACATTTTTTTAAATATACATCTAAGTCCCAAATCTTGCCATTATCCTATGCTGTAAAGAAGAGTTGTGCCCTCTTAAAGGCACAGTGCGCATTATCCTGAGAGCCCAGTATTTTGGCTCTCAACAATGTGAGCAGTGACTGATTTTTTTTTTTAAATTTTAGTGAAGATAACACACTATATGTCTTATCTTTCTTTTTATTGCTGAGTATTCCACAACTCTAAACTGAAGAAGTTTGTGTATTATCTACAAATACCTCTGCACATGAGATTTGAGCCTGTCCCCCCTAAGGCTCTGCACCATGTGAGTGTGCTTTATATGGATAATATATCACTCTATTTGGTTTAGACATACTGCACCATATTTTGTCTATTTCTTTCCCTCAGAAATTCTGTTTTTATTTTTATTCCCTTATTTTAGGGTAGGTGTACATATTTAAGCGCTCCACTGGTTTTTGTTTGATGTGGTTGGTTCTTTCCACTCAAATAATATTCCACTATCTGGTTTGCATGTTCTTTACCTGATAATATGACATAACACTATGTGTATTGGGTTGTAGTGTTAGCATGTGATGTTGAATGCCTGTCAGATATAATGTGATGGTGTTGTAAGATAAGTGTAATTTAAGGTGGCAAAAAGAAGTGAAGGCTATAATAGATGTCATAACAAAAGGTTGGGCTATGTCGTGGTCAGATAGAAATCTTGTGAAAATTGTGAAGGCTCTGTTGTATGCTTTGTGAGTGTTGGATGATAGTGCTAATTTGGACAGATCCCTGATATGTTGCATGAATATTTCTAGTCCATGGTTAGCTACTGGAATGGAGGGGCGGCAGTGGCTGCTTGTGCTGCTGTCGGGAGTGCTTGCTGAAAAGCCTGAAAGTTGAAACGAGACAGACTGTCAGCTGCTATGTTACTAATGCCCGGTACATAAAAGCAGACCAAGTAGAAATTGTGACATGCTGCTAACCATGTGAGTTTCCTGAGAAATCTCATGATTGTTATGGATGATGAATGGCCTTTGTTAATGATGTAACATGTTGCTTGGTTGTCTGTGTGGCAATGGACTGACAAGCCTGACCATAAATGTCCCCACGCCATGGCAGCTGCTACAATGGGGTAAATCTCAAAAAGAGCTGAGGTTGTAAAAAAGCCTTCTAAGTCATAGACTTCTTCAGCCACTTACCCCAAAGCCATTCGTTCCCAAAGATCGCTGCGAAACCTGTGGTAGACGTCGCGTCTGACCATATGTTTGGAGATATGTCAGACAATTCTGGGAGGAACAAGCTTTTACCATTCCAGGTGGACAATAATTCTTTCCACATGTGTAGCGTGGCGTGCACATCCAAGGACAGTCTATAGTTGTTGTGTTGGAAATGTGGAAAAAGACAGAGAAGTCTAGAAATGAAAGCACGCCCTTGAGGAATGATGCACATGGCAAAGTTCAAGGAACCTATGAGAGATTGAAGTTCCTTGCGGTTGCAATTACCTAGCAAGATGTAATGGTTGATGCTGTTGAGGATGTTTGTAATTTTTTCTTGTGGTAAACTAGCTTGCATAGAGGCAGAGTCTACTTGTATACCCAGAAATGTAATGATTGTGTCTGGACCTTTGGTTTTCTTAGGGGATACTGGGACTTCCAGGTGGTCAAACAGACTAATGGTTTCTTTGAGATTTCTGGGGGGAAAGGAGTTCTATTCGATCAGCAAGATATCATCCAGATAATGGATGACTATGGGGCATCTGGAAATGTTAAGTAACAACCAGCAAAGTGATTCTGCAAAAGTGTTGAAGATTTTGGGGCTACTTTTTGACCCAAAGGTGAAGATTTACCTGTGACTATCCCAATGGGATTTGTGCGCCATGCCGTAAAAGGTGGGGTTTTAAAAAGCCAGAACAAAAACCCCTCTGACAATTCTTGGGCTAAGAGTGTATCTACGGCTGTTGGGTTCTGTTGCACTGATTGTAAATTTGGACATTCAGGATGGCCTGTGGGCATATGTTTAATGCCTGTTTGGAACCCCTCTGAGAAACCAGAGATGAGAAAATCTACCATATGTCTGGAGGGATGATTGGTCAGTAGTGCTGAGAAGACATGAATGTTAACAGACGTTAGGTATGGTTTAGGGTACATTTTATTTGGACACATGGTTTTCGCATGTGCCCTGAAACAATGTGAACAAATATGCAATAACCTGCATGCACTAAAGCTACATATGCCCACATTGAAATTATTGCACACCTGTGATTTACCAAAGAAAATGATGGGACGACCCAGTTTGTCTCTGGTGGTTCTCTCAGTTCTACCCGCGTAGCTGGTGCTAGGTGACTGATTACAGTCATCTGCCATGTGAGAACAAAAATTACTAGTGTGAGTAGTAGAAGAGCAGGATGCACAAGCTGGTGTTTTGAGACCTGCGAAGTGTCTCCAGAATAGTTCCGTATCTAGTCTGCTCCAGTTAATAAGGGTACCATACTGAGAGAGAGCGCCAGACACCTTGGTTGAAAAAGACCTATGGTAGTCGTAAAAAGCCGTCCCACCATATTTGTTCCCCAGGTCTGATCTGATTGATGCTGGACTGGCAACATCTCCCCTACGAGAGGGTGTCTCAACCCTAGCTGGGGTGCCATGAAGAGATAGCTCTTCATCACCTTCATGAGACATACTTAAATAAACAAAAGATAAAATTATTATTTGAACCGAGTAGTTTAGTACTGGCTTGCTAGCTATGCCGTAAGGCAAAACCATTATACTTATTGTTTTGGTGACAGGTGAGGCCCTGCTAGTTGCCAAGCGGCTTGAGAGGCTCTATCTATGCTTGGCGCGAGTGGATTTATGTGGCCACTGAACGTTGTGGCAGGATGTTGGCCTCTCGGTGACTGTAACCAGAAAAATAGGAAGGGTAGTGACAGGTGAGGCCCTCTTTATGATACGTTCGAGGCGGCTAGCTTACATGTGGCTCAAGGGATGTATTCCTCTGAGTTTGAGGCGGGGTGTTGGCCTCGCAGAACCACTAATACGAAGCATAGTGCAGAGAAAAGAGGAAAATTACCTATTGGCCCCTATGGCCCTAATTGCCAGTACTTATGTCTATTCGTTGGGAGATTTTTGTTATGAATATATACTGTAAGCAGGTGTACATACCTGGAAGTATAGTTTTGTAACCTGTTAATTCGTATAGGTAGCAGTAGTAACTGTATCTAAATAGATGGAACTGTATGGAAATAATGACGAATGGCACAACCCATTTTACCTTAACATAGAAACATAGAAACATAGACCTAAACAATTACCTTAATTATGTTTGGTTGTTTTGACCTGTAGAGGTCAATGGAGATGATATTTGTAGGATCTCCGTAAGTATGTACTTGCTGACCTGTAGGTGGCAGTGTTTGAGTTGTAGCATGGTGGACGTAATAATATGTAGCGTGAGTTCTAAGTACTTAATTTTATGTGATGCGCCGTACTTGATTAATTATGGAGTATCAGTTTAAATGTGATATTATATATCTGTATCCGTATACATGCAAACAATACTTTAATTGTTTTGTGTTCCTTGATGGGTTTTAGTGTTTGTAAAATTCACTTGGTGACCATATATGAAGTGGTCTGTAGGTGGCAGTGTAGGTAGAGATCATATACAGATGTCAGTGGAGAGTTTGTGAAATTTATGTATGGTAATGTACTTGTCGACCTGTAGGTGGCAGTGTAGAGCCACCGTTATAATGTGTATTGTAAAGTAAGACAATTATAATTAACACATGTCCACAGAACACATAAATAACCAGTAGTTAATTCCAAACGACAATAAGGTTAAATCCCCCAAAACTGCATGTTCGTGCGTTTAACCGCACGAACTGTGTCTGTAGTGAATGAAAGATTAGTTATTAATGTATCCGCACGAAACCGGCCATGAGTATCTAATAACAGACTAAGATTTGTAAAAAACGGAACATGTGTATCTAATCTGTTCGTGCGGTTGAAGTGCACGAATGGAGATATTTTATACGAATGAGTTGACAGTGAAGTGTCCAAACGGGGAAATACATTGTAATAAATTACCGAAAAGCCTGAACGGGGAAACCATAGCGTGAGATATGCCCGAAATGGCCGTGTAAATGAACGGCTGAAGATGAACAATATAGACTGAATATGCAGAGTAGCATGAAATCGCCAAACGTAACCGTAAAGTGAGGACCTGACCCGTGTATGATGCCGTGGGAATGTTGCCTGGCGTAACTGGTAGGTCAACTTACGGTTTGTGAGTCACTAGGATGTGATCTGCGGTGATGGAAGAAGCAAGAAGCTGGTCGGATGGAAAAAGCCTGGACACAGCTCTGCGTGGAAGACCTCGTGAGAAGACTGAAGTATTCCAAAATGGCGACTGGATGACCCGAAAGTTCATTCAGACGCTGACCTTGATCGGTATGGAGTCAAGTAAGGGTTGTACCTTATATAGGGGAGTGATTTAATTTAAGCCCCTCCCACAAATACAGGCCAAATGGCCTTAATACATATAACAGTGTTGGCTACCTCCTCCTCCTCCACCGCCGCCTCCACCTACACCGCCACGGTCACCGCCTCCTCAACCTATGGGTCACTTAGTATAAACTAGGTACACATTAGCAGAGGCTTGTGAAGGCCTTTTCTCCATGCATCAGGAGTTGAGCATTTCTCCATGCATCAGGACTGCAAGAAATGCACCACAGGCCGCAAATGTTTCTTTTTTTGTATGTCCCAATATTTTATGGGCTACCACAATTTAAAAAAAAAACAAACAAACAAATAAAAAACAGTGTTGGCTACCTCCTCCTCCACCGCTGCTTCCACCTACACCGCCACGGTCACCGCCTCCTCAACCTATGGGTCACTTAGTATAAACTATGTACACAATAGCAGAGGCTTGTCAAGGCCTTTCCCCCATGCATCAGGAGTTGAGCTCAGTTTGAACAATGAAAGAGAATACCCTGCACTCCAACCCTCTCTCAACTGGATAATTCTGTTGATTCTCCTGACAGCCATGCTTTAGATTTTGATTTATGTTCTTCCAAAGCTAAAATCAAAGATTCTATCTAGTGCTATTTTATGGATTAGCTGTATTTTTAATTTTTATGTTATTTTAAGTGATTTCCCTATCCACATTTGTTTGCAGGGCACTTGCCCTACTCTTCCCCCCATTTTACTTCAATTTGCAGCCCTCTAGCCCTTTCCAGGACTTTTTTAGAGGCATTTCTGTGGCCAAAAGTTCGGGTTCGGGGTCAAGTTCGATCATGAACCCGAACTTTTTTTCAAAGTTCGGCCGGACCCGAACATCCAGGTGTCCGCTCAACTCTAGTCATAAGGTAACTCTGACTCACTACAGCACTTAGTTTGCTATTTTGCATGGGAAAAATATTGGTAGGAAAGCTTGATATTGGGTTCTCGCATGGAGCACATGCTATGTGCGACCATTCAGCATGGTGGTCAGGCCTCACCCACCCCAGCACAAAACTTTTAATACAAACTTCAAAAATGAAATATTTTTAATAAACATAATTTACAAAAAATATACCAAGTAAACATTCATTTACAACTTACATATTTTTGCTTTAAAAAAAATAAATAAAAATAATTCCCATTCCAGGAAAAATAGCAAAGCACAAGGTGTAGTAGAATGCATAATTCTCATTAATGGGCATGTGCCATAATAACGTAAAACAAGCCATCAAGGGAGGACTGCTGTATTTGCCCTGGTCGGCAAGTGAAAGTAAACTTAATTTCCTGTGCACAAAACTCACAGATCTATCGGTGGATGCTCCTAAGCTTGACAGATAGGGGGTGCTAAAGTTGAGAGGATTGACATAAGTCCCTACAACCTTCATTAGTAGCACTTGTGCCACAGCGATCAGTGCATATTTTGCAGATATAGACTATGTTCTCCATGAATTTTGGATTCTTGCTTTGGAGTGGATCATTGGCTGTAGTAGCTATAGTGCCAGGAGTACCCCCTCCATTGTAAGGAGGGTTGAGAGTAATTCACTGATGCTGTCAGTCAATTAGTTATGCTCTACACTTCAGTACTTATGGCTAGGAGGTAGCTTTATCTAAACACAACAAGTCTTCTCAGTACCTAAACTCACCTAACTCTAACCTATCCTTTGCAATACACTTTTTGATGTAGTATTTTTTTGTAGTGGTTTTATGTTTTATGTTTTTATGTTGTATCAGAACATTAATGGGTTTGTGCCATAATGAAAGTAATAATGGGTTTCTGTCATAATTAAAGTATTATTATTTGTATTTATTATAGAGGACATTTAAAATACACCTTTGAAAGGTAACATTTTAAAGGCTTAAATGCAAATATATTGAAAGATCTTTAATATATATGAATGCTGAAGTGAAGCTTGTCTTTTAAATATGACTTTCCAGTCCTTGTGTTTAAAACCCACTACTGCAACTCTACCCAGAAGGTGAGGGGAGGCAGTTCTATCGTGTAGAATGGAATGCAATTGAGGAAGTTTGATAGGTATGTATCAAAATCTCTTTTACTGCCAATGCCCGCTCATTGACACGGCAAGAGATGAAGTTCCCATGTGTTTAATGAAGTTCACAACAAGAATCAGTGTCCTGCATTCTCTTACGTACAATAACCATGCAAACATTCTATAGATAAACTGAACCTTAACAGCATTGCCAGCTGAGTCAACAATGATGTGGTTTTTTTTTTTTATAAATTGTCTTTACGAAATTCTGTTTTATGAGGATCATGAATGTTTCTTTCATTGCACTCAGGAAGGCTGCCAGATTCATAGGAAACTTAACGAGGCAATTCGGATGAACTTAACTCTTTGTTTTAATTACACGGAGAGCACAATACAAAATGTACCCTTTTCTGATCCAAGAGAACTGTTATTCAAGTGTTGTCTTTGTTGCCTATAGCCATACTATTCAAGTCAATAAACCAGTCTGATCTGGCCACACCCAGCTGAAATCTGAAGATCTTCATTCTCTGAGTGATGAAAGCTTCACTTTAAAGAGGTTCCAGGTAAATCTGAGAGTTTAAATCATCTAGCAGTATAATTGTGATGCTACAGAGAGTCAGAACCTTAAAAACCCCACCCAGAAACCCACTCTCCCATACCTCCCCTCTACCACTTTCAATAGAACCCATTCCCACTCTAACAGACTCATCTCCAACTTGGAAGCAACCCGTAGTGAACTCCTTAGGACTCATTGGGATGAGCTCTTTCAAATAACGGAACCTAGTTACCCCAGCATGCACAATCGTACAAAGTTTGAAAGCACTGCAGCATATGTTTTGAGCTCAGACGTATGCATCTTGCCCAGCACGTGTTATATTGGCTTAGTTACATCTTTTCTCACTGTTGTGCACATTACACATTTGTTAATGCAATTCCCTTATTTTTTCTCTTATCTGAACTGAAAAAATAAAGAATGTAAAAATAAAAAATTGAAGAGAGGGTTTCCCTCTTAATCAACATGGACAGAGGAGATCTATTGGAATGAAATTCACATCACTCTCATAGAGCTATTCATTAAACTGGGAATTGACAGATATTGACCAGGGAATTCAAATCTTTAGTCTAAAAGAGCTGAATAGAAAAATTCTCTGCTCTAACTATTCACCAGTTTAGCTACGGGGTCTTACAAGATGTTTTGTATTGTAAGTTACATAGAAACATAGAATGTGATGGCAGATAAGAACCATTCGGCCCATCTAGTCTGCCCAATTTTCTAAATACTTTCATTAGTCCCTGGCCTAATCTTATAGCTAAGATATCCTTCTGCCTATCCCACACATGTTCAAACTCCCTCACATTGTTAACCAATACCACTTCAGCTGGAAGGCTATTCCATGCACCCACTACCCTCTCTGTAAAGTAATACTTCCTGAAAATATTTTTAAACCTTTGCCCCTCTAATTTAAGACTATGTTATCTAGTTGTGGTAGTTTTTCTTCTTTTAAATATTTTCTCCTCCTCTACTGTGTTGATTCCCTTTATGTATTTAAATGTTTCTATCATATCCCCCCTGTCTCGTCTTTCATCCAAGTTGGCTATTTTGTCATACAAGTTGCTATTTCACAACATTTCTCAATTTAGGTAACCCGGTCAATGTTTTTACAAAGAATAAACAGACACAAATCTAACATTCTGTAAATTTGTTTAACTGTATTTTGTTCCTGTTACTTCGAACAACATCCTAAGTGTTAACAAATGTATATGTCTCTGGAATGTACCTGTTTTAAATTTTTTAATTTCCTCAGAGTCCATCGTTTTTTCTATATGTCCAAAACAATGGATAAAGAGGAACAGCCTAGATCTCATCAAAATGCGAGGATACAAAGGTTCATGTCTGTATCTTTTCAAGTACATCTTTGATTATATGGTATATATATATTTCTTTATCTTGTTTTCATATATCTCCCATGCAGATGTATGAGAAAAGCTTGGATCGCATTCTATTATGGTGTAGAGTATTGTAAAATTCCTGATCTTATAGAAACATAGAAACATAGAAACATAGAATGTGACGGCAGATAAGAACCATTCGGCCCATCTAGTCTGCCCAATTTTCTAAATACTTTCATTAGTCCCTAGCCTTATCTTATAGTTAGGATAGCCTTATGCCTATCCCACGCATGCTTAAACTCCTTTTACTGTGTTAACCTCTACCACTTCAGCTGGAAGGCTATTCCATGCATCCACTACCCTCTCAGTAAAGTAATACTTCCTGATATTATTTTTAAACCTTTGTCCCTCTAATTTAAGACTATGTCCTCTTGTTGTGGTAGTTTTTCTTCTTTTAAATATAGTCTCCTCCTTTACTGTGTTGATTCCCTTTATATATTTAAATGTTTCTATCATATCCCCCCTGTCTCGTCTTTCCTCCAAGCTATACATGTTAAGATCCTTTAACCTTTCCTGGTAAGTTTTATCCCGCAATCCATGAACCAGTTTAGTAGCCCTTCTCTGAACCCTCTCTAAGGTATCAATATCCTTCTGAAGATACGGTCTCCAGTACTGTGTACAATACTCCAAGTGAGGTCTCACCAGTGTTCTGTACAATGGCATGAGCACTTCCCTCTTTCTACTGCTAATACCTCTCCCTATACAACCAAGCATTCTGCTAGCATTTCCTGCTGCTCTATTACATTGTCTGCCTACCTTTAAGTCATCAGAAATAATCACCCCTAAATCCCTTTCCTCGGATGTTGAGGTTAGGACACTATCAAATATTCTGTACTCTGCCCTTGGGTTTTTACGTCCAAGATGCATTATCTTGCACTTATCCACATTAAATGTCAGCTGCCACAATTCTGACCATTTTTCTAGTTTACCTAAATCATTTGTCATTTGGCTTATCCCTCCTGGAACATCAACCCTGTTACATATCTTAGTATCATCAGCAAAAAGAATAAATCTTTTGTCATGCTCAACAGTTTGTTTGTGCCTGGGAAATAAAGTATGACTGGGTTTGTGGCTAGATGACTGGGGATTTAACAGGGTTTGTTTAACCATTTTATTCCGGGAGACCAGGCATTCACTTGTCCTTCTCAGGTGTGGATTTGGATGAATTGTCATACCATTAGAGAGTAAGTGAACAATTTCTGGCGCTGTAGGTATTTGGATCAGTGAACTGGACATCTTTTGGTTCAAGTGTTATTGGAATGGGGAACTGTCAGATTACCTGCCAGGGTCAGAATCCATTCTTCAATGCCGCTATTGTGAGCCTATTCAGCAGCCAGATCCGGCTATCACTCTAATGACATGTATAAGCCTGCACACTCCCTTTGTCAATACACACAAACATTCTGAAAAGGCAGAAACAATACAATTTAGATTGGTTATTTAAAACCCCTTCTGCACTAGTCATTTCCCTTTTGTGGGTCTTGCTTCACCCAATTAGACAGTTTCTATACTTTGATAGAATGGTTGGTACTAGCACTTTGTAGAGCTTTATAAGAGTAAGAGGAATGTTCCTAACTTGGCATTAAAAAATTAGCAGCTAAACACCAAAAGGTGTAATTTCTCCAAATAGCACCAACAAATAGTATAAAGATAAAAGTGTAGCGCTTCTGGAAAGGTAATAATTACCTTTATAGCAATAATCCGGGTACTTCAGTATAAGACTCCGGATGCCTGGAAATATTAATAATATAACATAGTGCAAATCATAAAGGACAGAAATAATATACTTAAAGGGACACTATAGTGTCAGGAAAACAAATCGGGAAAAACCCTCAGGGTCCCCCTCCCGTGGCGCTGAAGGGGTTAAAACCCCTTCAGTAGCTCACCTAATTCCAGCGCCAGGCTCCCTTACCTCTCCTCCCCCGCAGTTGTCGACATCTTTGTCCGATGTCACAGGAGCCAAATGCGCATGCGCGGCACTGCCACATGCGCATTCAAAATGTCTGTAGGAAAGCATTTTTCAATGCTTTCCTACGGACGCTCTGCATGATTGAGGCATAATATGATGGGTGCTGCAACAGGACAATGACCCAAAGTATAGAAGTAAATCAACAACAGAATGGCTTAAACAGAAGAAAATACGCCTTCTGAAGTGGCCCAGTCAGAGTCCTGACCTCAACCCGATTGAGATGCTGTGGCATGACCTCAAGAAAGCGATTTACACCAGACATCCCAAGAATATTGCTGAACTGAAACAGTTCTGTAAAGAGGAATGGTCAAGAATTACTCCTACAGGAAACGTTTGGTTGAAGTTATTGCTGCCAAAGGAGGTTCAACCAGTTATTAAATCCAAGGGTTCACATACTTTTTCCACATGCACTGTGAATGTTTACATGGTGTGTTCAATAAAAACATGGCAACATTTCATTCTTTGTGTGTTATTAGTTTAAGCAGACTGTGATTGTCTATAGTTGTGACTTAGATGATGATCAGATCAAATTTTATGACCAGTTTGTGCAGAAATCCATATCATTCCAAAGGGTTCACATAGTGGCTGTTTTTTCCCCCATTCCTTTTAATAGGGGAATACAACAAGAGGGATGCTTCACTGAGAGTGGACAATTAAAACTTACGAGATAAAGTAGAGACATGTTATACAAATAAGATAATAGCACATAGAACCACTAAAGGAACACAATCATAAAATGAACTAACATGGGCACTACAAAATATTTATTGTTGTTTTCTTTAAATTTATTTCGTTTTTTTTTTTTCATTCTTATTTCTCTCCCTTTTCCCTTTTCACAACAAGAAAGAAACCTCACTGAGGTGGATAATACATATTTGCAGGGTAAATAAGTGATAGTAATTTGAGCTAAGAAAAAAAATGAGAAAAAGAAAATAGTTTAAAGAATTAACAATAGAACACAAGTAAACAAGTTTATGAGCATTGATAAGCACACTACAAACGAAGGATGAAAAAGGATTAAGGGGGGCTATTAAGAGTAAACTCACAAAGCAAACTACTGTATTGTATGCTATTTGAATAATTTTCTAAATGCATAAAAGAGGCACACAAGAAATGCAGAACAATGTAATGGAAAAATGCAGAAAAAGCATTTGGATATGACCAGTTTTATTTACTGTCTTTAAAAAAAAAATGTTGTTTATTTATTTACTTTTATTTATTTCATTTTTTTTCCTTCTTCCCTATTTTTGAATATGCCACGCACATCTCACCTGGCCCTAGGCTTCATGAGCCATACTAGATATGGCATCTAATTTCCATGCAATAGGGAACTGTACGAAGCATGGAAGTCCACTTACTCCCATGGGAGTAGCTATGCGGATAAGTTTTTGTTTTATATGTACATAGGACTTGGTAAATGGCGAGAAGAGGGAAACTGTGTTACCTAGGGTAGAATGATTAGATTTTGTACATTAAATGCCAAAGGCTTGAATTCACCGCTAAAAAAAATCAATTCTCCTCCAGTTTTTAAAAAAAGGAAAGGGTACAAATATGTGGAAGCCAAGAAACACATTGGAAGGAAATAGACAATTTAAATATAAAATCAAATCGATATCCGCAAGTGATCATTTCTTCCCTACCCAATTAAGAAAAAAAGAGGTGTAGCAATCCTCTTCCCTAAGGAAGTAGAACTAAAAATAAAATACCCAGAAACTGACAAAGATGGAAGATATAAAATCCTTGTGGGTGAAATAAACGGAAAATTGATGACGTTAATAAACATCTATGTTCCTAATAAAAACCCTTTGAAATTATTTCTGAGAATATTAAATAAACTGGAAAAAGTCAAACAGGGACAATTGATGTGGATGGATGACTTAGAGATAGAAACGTAATAGAACAGGCAAGGACATTTCAAGAACTCCTAAGTAAGAACTCCTTATATGATATATGGCGAGTATTTCACGCAGAAGAGAAAGATTATACATGCTTTTCAAAAACATACTGTGCCTACTCAAGAATTGATATAATATTAGGTGAGGCAGGAATGATAAACCAAACTCAAAAGGTTAGGATTCAAGATATAGCATGGTCATATCACAATACTGTGTTTTTAGATCTCAATGAGAATTTAATTGGTTTTAATAGAGATTGGAGAATGAATAATTACCTGTTAAAGAATCAAGAAAACAGAGATGATATAAACAATGTCAGAGCTCTACTTCCTGGAGAATGAGATAGAAGATACTTTTTTAATTACAGTATGGTGTGCTTATTTATGAAACTAAAGAAACAATCTGGAAAAAAACTATAAGAGCTATATATACAGTTATTTAACTTGGTAAAAGAAAACAGAGTCCCTCTCTGTTAAGATAAACGATATAGAAAAATAAATCAATCTCCAATTGATAGAAAAAGCTAATAAAAATTTGGAGATAATGAATACAATAAGATATTATAAAGGTAACAAGGCTGACAAAATGCTTTCAAATAGGATTCAAAATAAAAGAAATGAAACAAGGATTAAAAAAAATAATCTATAACTGAGAGACATGTTTGTCTCCAGACAAAGTAGGAAAAGCATTCAGCACTTTCTATCAAACTCTATATTCACTACCTAAAGAGGCTACTCGAATAGAAATTTCCGAATAATTTAAAGGACCACTCTAGGCACTCAGACCACTTCAGCTTAAAAACTGCTATGACCAGAGAAACTGCTATGTTTATAAATAGGTTAATCCAGCCTCCAGAGGAT